GGCCTCACCCCTGCACCATCAGAACGCCTTTCCTGAGCCTCTGCTTCCAACCGCTGAGTCCTACAGGCCTCACCCCTGCCCCCCCCCAGGGCCTTCCCCGACATCCCAGCACCCGCCTGTTTCCTCTCGTCCCTATCTCCCCAGCAGGCCGGAGCTTGGGCAGGTGGGGACCTCGTCTGGCCGGCCCCCGCACTTGCAGCGACCAGAGAGCCTGGCACAGGGCACAGGACGATTCCCTCTTGAGGGAGCAGAGGGCTGAGCGGTGGGCCCCATCCCTCATCCGCAGGCTGGCTCACCTGGCTCCAGGGCCCCACCACCCACTGCGTACAGGGGTGCGTGTTGCAGGGCCGCGTGCTGTTGGGTTTCAGCGCCTCCTCACAGAGACCCGGCTCCGGGCAGGTCACCAGACGGTGCTGCTCGCCCCCACCGCAAGCCTCAGAGCACTGGAAGGGTGGGATGGGCAGGGAGAGGGGTCGGGGCACGGCCATGGTCTGAGGACACCCCCCACCCCATCCCGGGACCCCCAGGCCTCACCTCCCTCCAGGAAGAGATGTACCAGCTGAGGCAGGGCTGCACCCCGCAGGGACGGCGGGTGGGTGGCATGGCAGGCCCCGGCTGGCAGTGGAAGGGCCGCAGCGGCCGGAGGTCCTGTGTGTCCACGCACTGCACGTCCCGCACGGAGGACCCTCCCCCACAGCTGCGGGAGCACTGCAGGCCAGGGGCACAGTGTGAGCAGACCCCACACGCGCACAGCCCCACAAGGGGTGGCTGGGCAGCAGCGGACGGACCCCTGCCACCCCCCGCCTGGGAGAACCGGCCAGCCTTGGGCCGCAGGTGCGGGGCCAGGGGCAGCCACCGCAGGGGACAGGTGGGCAGGGAGGAACAAGAGAGCGGCGGGGACAATGAAATCCCAGGCAGGGGGGAGGGCAGGTACAGAGAAAAGGACGCGGCCAGCAGCCAAGGGGCTCACAGGAGGGAGAGGTGAGGACGCAGCGGGACGAGCCCAAGGACAGCGGCGCGGAGCCCCCCCCAGCCTGCACTGGGGGCCGGGGGGGCCCGGCTTGCACCCCGAGGCCCCCACGCACCTTACTCCAGTTGCCCGTGTGCCAGGCGGCGCAGGGCCTCAGATGGCAGCGGCGGGCGGGTTGGGGCCGGCCGGCGGGCACGCAGTCCTCCTCCCGGCCTGAGCTGCAGTGCACGGGCCTCCACACGGCACCCAGCCCGCAGGTGGTGGAGCACTGGGGGCCGGGGCACAGGCGTGAGGGCGGGTACGTCCCTGCAACCCCCAGCCCCACGGCCAGGTGCTGCCCATCGAGGGGCGGGGACCCTGCTGGAGCCAGAGCCTCGCCTTCCCCATCTGCGGAATGGGCTCCTCCGCCCCCCTCCAAGGAGACAGAGGACAAAAACTCAAACACCTCCGCGAGCATCTGTCCCTGCTCACGGGACAAGGCGGTGGCCCAGCTCCTGCCCAGACTCGCTGCTCCCCACAATCAGCTAGGAAGGGAGTCTGGATCCCTCGCTGAGTTCCTGCCTGTCCCTCCCCACCCCAGAATGAGGGGTCTGAACACAACTTCCCCAGGGACAATGCGGGGGCGCCGGTCAGTCTCTGTCCGTCAAGTTCAGACCCTCGCTGGCCCCTGACTGGGGGGGGGGACCCGCTGATGATGGGGGGTAGGGAGGAGACCAGGCAACAAGGGCCTGAGCAGCCCCTGGAAGAGCCAGGCTGAGCCCGGGGGAGTCTGCTGGGCTGGGGGGCCACAGAAGCGGCTTCCCCACCAGCACAGCTGTCCGGGGGAGGGCCCTGCCCGGGAGCACGCAAGCCAGAGTAGGAAGGACGTGGCTCCCGGCTGCCCCCCATTTGTGCCCGCCCCGCCTTCCTGGCAGCCCCGTGCTGCTCAGGCATGGGGACCCCAGAGACCGGCAGATGGGCCCTCGCCCCACCTTACTGCTCAGATGGGAACCTGAGACTGACAGGGCAGAATGCCCTAGGGGCACATGGAGGGCAATAGGACTGATTTGGGGTCACAGGCTGCCAGTTCCCGAATCCCAGAATCCCCACGTGTCTGGGAGGCAGGGCCCGTCTCCGGATGAGGACACCCCAGCCCCTTACCTCACTCCAGCTGCCCACCTCCCAGGTGGCATTCCCAGCAGGTGGCAGGTCCTTGGCCAGGCCGGGCTCCAGAGGCTGGGCCTCAGGGACTCTGCTGCTGTTGGCTGAACCGTCCCGAGCTGGTGTGGGCAGCGGCGCGGGGCTCGGGGGCACCTCCGAGCCGGGGGCTCCCCGCTGGCCCACAGGTCCCGGGCCCGGTTCCCGAAACATGTGCTCGAAGCCAGGGGGGCCCATCCGAAGGAAGGTTCCTGGCACGGCCGCGGTCTGCAGGTCCCACGGGGCTGCAGGGGTGGGAGTGCCCAGTTCCGGGGGGCTGTCCCCACCCCAGGTCACTGGCAGAGCATCTGGGGGAGGAGGGGGGGAAGGAGCTCCCCCGACTGGGGGCCACAGCTCAGCGTCCACAGGGCCCAGGCCACCTTCCAGAGCAGGTTCCCAGGCCACAGTCCCCGCCGTCCACGGATCTCCTGCGTCAGGACTGGGGGGTGCGCGGCTGGTGCTGAGGGAGGGCAAAGGGGGCAACGTGGGGCGGGGTCCTTGAGGCAGGCCGGTTGCTCTGCGGTCTAAGGCTTCCTCCTCGTCCTCGGAGAGCTCGTTGGCCCCCTGCCAGCGCGGAGGGGGCGGCCGGCTCTGGCTGGTTCCCCCTCCCGGGAGCCTGTTTTGGCTCCCAGGGGCAGCAGGTGTCTCCATGCCCCCGACTGAAGCAGGGGACCAGGGCCAGCTGGGGAGCCCCAAGTCTGGGGCCCCGGCAGGGGCATCTTCCTCTGGTAAGAAATTGACCAGGGGGTTCCCAGGGGCCTGCTCCGAGGGCAGGGCCGGAGAGAGGCCAGCCCGGCTGGGCCAAGGGGCAGGGGACCCGTCTCCCAGGGCCACCTCCTTTTCAGTGCCAGGAGGCTCTGAGGCTGGCAGGGGGGTGCCTGTGGGGGGCTCAGCAGGACCGCTCAGGGGTGGGGGCATCCAGTCCCCTGCGCCCGGCAGGTCTGGGTCGGGCTCCTCGAAGGGCCCGTAGGACAGGTCCTCGTGGAAGTTAATGAAATTGTAGTCGTAGTAGAAATCGTCAACAAACACAGGCCCCGGCGGGCCCAGCTCAGGGTCCTCCTCAATGGCATTGCCCATGCCGGCCAGCTCAGGTGACGAGGGGGGCAGAGGCTGTGGGGCCAGGCGCGGGGGGATGAAGTCAATCTCGTTGAAGAGCTCGCGGCTGGAGGAGCCGCTGCCTGAGCCCTCGGGGTCCAGGGCGCGGGGACAGGGCGGCAGGGAGCAGGCTGCCCTGCGGGCCGGCCGCTGGGCCTCATCACAGGGGATGCTGGTGTTGTTGGTGCAGAGGACACTTCGGTGCTGAGTGGCCTCCCCGCACGTCGCCGAGCACTGCGGAGGAGAGCAGGCTGAGGGGCGCAGGCCAGGAGAGGCTGGGGCCGAGTGGGTTCCCTGGCCCTGCCGATGTCCGACGAGAGGCCTCCGCCAGCCGTCTCCCCCGTCCAGCTCCAGACCGTGGCGGAGGCGGCTCGCCAGGGTGCCCCAGCCTCCCCCCACTGTGGTACCCGGCAGTAGGGGCTCTCTGAACACTGCCTCCACCTCCCCACAGCCCAAGACCAGTGGCGGAGGCGGGGGC